GGCAGGGAGGTACTCAGTGACCTTACCTGAGCCTGTGCTTTCCATCTCTTGGGAGAGCTACTTCTGCCATGACCAAGCTTTGAGGAGAACCTAAAAAGTCACTTTAATTTACTTCATTACTACCTTTTCAAACTAATTTTACTGAGTCACCAAGATCTGCTGCGACTGTGTCTGGAAATGTATTGGGGATGAGAGCATTTACCCCAGGATACAGACTGCAGTTTATCCTCTAAAGTCAGTATTCATGATGAAGTTAAAAAGCTGACAGAACCTCCATGAAGACCATATAACTCTCCTAGTATAAAAACTGAAAGCAAAAATATTTCACATTTCACTTGTCCTGATTTTCACATTTCACTTGTCCTGAGTACTTGCCTCAGTACTTTTTGTTTGTTACATTAGGAACAGGCTGTGACTGAGTAAGATCCATTGTTTTTCAATAATCAAGTCTGCAAGCCATGGGTGTAATTACCCCTGACTAAACCATCCTCACTGCTTGTTTTTTTTAATCTATACTCTGAACTTTACAAAAATCCTAACAAATGTCACTGCAAACTAGTATTTTATCTTCTCATTCCAAAGTATCTATTTATTACTGGTTTAGATTCTATTACACAAAGTTATTTTTACATAAGTGAAAATAGACTATCTAGTCCATTTTAAATTTGCATGTATTTGGTAGGTTTGCCTATTCTAGAATACTTATACAACAGTCAAGCTGTGCCAGCTTAAAAATACATTAAGTTCTTAAAAAGCACATTATCAATCTTTATATGAGTGATTCTCAGGAGATTTTAATTTTTACTATTTTTTTTCCCTGATTTTTTGATACATAACACATCAGTGAACAGACAAGAATGTTTGATGGACAAATACAGACTTTGGTAAATAATCTGAAGCAAATTTAATATTATAAAACATTATTTCCATGCCTATCTGCAGATTATATTAAACACTTCTGATGTTCACATCCAACACCCTTTAAAAAACAATTTAATGCAACTGAAAGGTTCAAGAAGGCTGAGAAGAGCTACAGACCTCAAAAAAAAACACAAAGAAAACCCTGGAAACATGGAAGGCAGGATCTGTATATCAGATGACAGATCCTAGTTCAGGTTTAAGCTTGTAAAAATAAAGTAAAAATACTAAAAAAGAAATCTAGATTTCCTAAAAGCAAATAAAATCAGGGAGGAAATAATTTTTCCAAGAACTTGCCCCTATAGAATCACTTTTTAAAAATTTGGAATATATGTGATAGTGGCAGAAACAGTAAAAAGAACCTGAAGAAATATCTCAGAAAGGGAAAAATATTTAAACATATTTCAGTATGGGCTTACTGCAGTGTGTTTTTTCTGTATAATAAGCACTACACCAAAATATTAAGCATTACAGCTGTGTATGTCTACTGAGCATGAGCCTTCTATTCAAAGAGCAAAGTACATTTCAGAACTTGTTTTTCTTTCTAAACCATTAATCCAAGCACTACTAGCAAGCTACCAAAAATAAAAAAAAAAAAGAAAACCATCAGAACCTACAAAACCTCTTACAAGTTCGAGGGACTTCAGAAATTCAGACAAAGCCCCTTCGGTCACTGGTTGGTCACAAAACACTCGTAAAAGCACATCTCCCCTGCTGGAGCCGTAGTCTGGCACTAGGCCTCAAAAACAAGGAGACAGCCTGGGCGCCAGAAAGTGAGCACAGCTCCGGCAGCGCAGCCGGGGAAGCCTTTCCCCTTCCTGCCAAATAGTGATCCCCGAGGAAGTCACCAGCAGCGATCCCTGGAAGGAGCGCGGCTCCCTCCACCTCGCACCTCCCGGGAAACCCTCCGGGAACCGGCACTGAAAGGGCAGCAGAAGGGAAACCCTCCTGGAAAACCACGGCAACTCACAGCAGCTCCCACACACCTCGTCTGTAAAAGCACCTCCGGATTGTCCCCTCTTCACCAGCAGCGCCCAGGCACAACCACAGGATGGTTACAGAAAGAAATAATCTGAGCCACTCATATCTTTATGTAAATAACAGAATTAGATACTGCAAACACAGTTATACAACAGTGTATAGCAGACATTGCAACAGCAGCTGAACTTGCCACTTACAAAACCTGAATCTCTTTTAAAAATCCTGGAAAAGCAACAGGTTTTTTATTGTGCTGAGCAGGATCAGTAAGACCTGACAGACACCCCAGAGCAAAGCCTATAGTAGAAGTCTCCCCTCGTTAGATCAAACTACCAGCAAACTAAATTAATCCACACAAAATTAAATGGAAACTAAGGAAAGCTTATTTAGCTCACTGAAGCAACCTACAGGCAAAAAAAGAAAAAAAAATAATCCTGGAAGAATCTCATCGACGTAAAATGCAAAAATTGTTTTAAGTCACAACTGAGGACCACCAAAACAGTCACACTTACATCGTCTCTCCAGTCTTAGCAACATGACAAAGAAACTGATCCAGTATTGGACACACTTCCTTCTTTCCTCTCTTCTCAAAATCTGTTGGCGTGAGAACAACACAAAAAGAATGGTAAAAGAAGACGGGACAGAACAAAAATTCACAATAATTAACGATTTGCTTCAACTATCAGTACAGCTCCCACACAAACACTGTCGTGCTCTCACAATGCTCCGGCTGTTCCCATGAACTCCACCAGCTTCCCAGCCCTGGGAAACACTTATTATTTTTCCTGCGGAGAAACCGCACGCACCAGAGTAGCAAAAGTTGATTTGCAACTTCTTCTGAGCAGCTACGGCACAGAAAGAGGCCGATTTCCTCAAGCTGAGCCCAGAACAGAGAGGGCTGGGGAGGGAGAAGGGGACAGGTCCGGACTGGGCCGGGATGCGGGGGAAGGGGCCAGGATGCACGGAAAGCGGGGAGGAAGGAGGGAGAAGGGGAAGCCAGACCGGGGAGTCCCAGGGCGGCAGCCGGGGAGCCCCGAGAGTCACCGATCCCCCCTCACGCAGCCCCGAGGGTCGTTGGGTAGGGAGATCGGGGGATCTGCCCTCAACTTCCCCACAACGACCCCCGGGCTCTCCCCACTCTGCGGGACCCCCCCAGCGAGCACCCCCTCCCCACAACGCGGGGACCCATCGCCCTCAGCGAGGGGCGCTCCCCTCACAGGGTCTGAGGGACCTCAGTCTTGCCCTCAGCGCGGCGACATCGCTCCCCCACCCCCCGCCACCAGCCTCGCCGCCACCTTTCAGCGCCTCCTGCAGCCTCTCGACGTCCATGATCCGCCCGGGCGATTCCCCCGCGGCTCCGCGCGGCTCCCCCGCCCCAGTCCCGCGCAGACCGGGCCGCGCTCACAGCAAGACCCCGCGCTCAGCGACGCTCCAACATGGCGCCCGCGCCGTGCCCGTGCGCGGCCCCGCGGCCCCGCCCGCCGGGGGCGGAGCCACAGGGCGGGGCCAATGGGCGGTCCCGCGGCAGGGGCGGGGCTAATCGGGGGTCCCGCGTGAGGGGGCGGGGCCGGGCGGCCGTGAGGGAGGGGCGGGAAAAGCGGCGGGAAAGGCTCGGCCGCAGCGTCCTCCCGAGCGGCCGGCGCGGACGGTCCGAGGGCGGCTCTGGTCTTCTTTTCCCGCCGCGGGTTATTGTCCTCCTCATGCCGGCCCCGCCATGCAGATCCTCGGGCAAGGAACGCGGAGCTTTACCCCGTTCACGCTCCGGCCCCTCAGAGAGCTCTTGTTTTTCCTCCCCGCTTTCAGGCTGAGGCCGCGCTCCCCCTGCCCACCCCAAGTCCCTGTTTGTGCAAGGACATGCCTGTGTTTTTATTCTCCAGAAGATCCCCAGTTGGAGGGATCCAGCTCCTGGCCCTGCACAGACAACCCAACAATCCCACGCTGAGAGCATTGTCCGAATGCTCCTGGAGCTCTGGCAGTCTTTGACCATTCCCTGGGGAGCCTGGTCAGTGCCCCCTCACCCTCTTGGGGGACGAATCTTTTCCTCATATCCCACCCAAACCTCCCCGACAGCTTCATGCCATTCCTTCGAATCTTGTCACTGGTCAGGAGAGTTAAGATATCGGTACCTGCCCCCTCCACTTCCCCTCATGAGGATGTCTCTCTCCTCCAGGAGACGCCTCCAGCCTCTCCCAGCCTGGCACACATTCCCCGTGCTCCTGGGATCATCCCCTCGCTCATCCTGTGCCAGCACTTGGCTCTGAGGACACCTGGCAGACCCTGGCAGACCTGTTGCTCCTTCCTGCCAAGGTCCAGACATGAGCCAAGGGCAGATAAGAGGCTCCAGCCCACCCCCTCTAACTGGGAAAGATTTCAGTTCACAGCAAATCACCTTTTCCTTCCATTTTCAAAGCTGAAACATTTACATGTAACCGTAGAACGCGAGAATTTTGTAGGTAGTTTCATCATCGGTGTGTTGTGTGATCTCAGGCAAACGGGTGAGGCAATCACACCTCAGCTTGTTCATTAATGAAACATAAATGATAATTACTCCTTGTAAGGTATTTGACACACCTTGTAATAAAAACGTATACAGGATGATTTCATTTTGTGTCAGTTCCCAGCCTGCTTGTAGAGTATTCACTGACACCCAACAATAGGAATAATCACCTCGTTGGAGAAGATGGGGTGGTTTAAACATCTTACTAAAGAACAATGAGAAATTGTTTCACAATCCAGGTGGGTTTTTTTCTTGCACTAAACTTACACAAAACCCATTAAGATTTATGTTTCAGATTTTAAAACATACTTGAGAGTTACAGGCTGTCCAATCCCTGGACGTGGATCAATAATTAAAATTATTTGTGGTGTAAGACCAGCAGCTACTTCTGCTCTCAGTAATGAAGCTTAGATTAGTTATCTGGAGATCCCTGACCCAGTTCCCCTTCACTGATGTGTGACAGTAATTTGTAAAGTATTTCCACCAGGTTTGAACCAAAATTGATTGTTGTGCTTTGAAACAATCTGTAGCAATTCAATACAGCATTCAAGCAAGACAGATGCAGCAGAATCGAGTGAGAACAATAAGAAAATGAAAACAATCTTATATTTCAAGACTCACTTAGGTCTTCAGAAAATATTGTACATCGATACACATCAAAGGATTTACAAAAGGAGCACAGAGATTTTGTTTGGTTTGTTTAAATTTATAGCTGCAGAAACCTGAATACGGTACAATAACTTGACACTAAAAATCATGGATCTCTGAATCATCCAGAGAAAGAAAGTTGTTTTTTTTTTCTTCAAAGTATACCACAGCCACCTCGAGACAAATTATGTTTATCCTCTGAGAAAATGACTAAAAATTTTTATTGTGCTTTTAAAACACCTGGAAGGCTTGGGAGTATCGAAAGACGAGAACAGCTCACACACGGTGCCTTAAAAAAAGAGAAAAATGGTATTTGTGCAAGTTGTTTCTTTTGAAAGATTACCCATAGGAGATACAAAGCAACCAAGGAACAGTCAGATGTGACTGACAAACATTCCAGGCTTTACCTGGCTCAGCCACTGACCCCAGCAAGTCCCCGGGGATTGCCTCCTATTAATCCAAGAGCCCATGGCAAACTGGCCAGTGCAGTTTTCTTTCCAAGCTGGATTTCACACCTTGCTCCCAGGATATCCCTGGGACAGGAGCTTCCTGACATCACTCCACAAACTATGGGACCAGCCAGACTAAAACCAGCCTTTTTCTCACCTGGGCCTCAGGTGTGAGGAACCCTGGTGCCCTTTGGAAGCGCTGAGCAGAATGGAAAGATCTCTCCTTGAAGGAGTGAACCCTGAGAAGGTACCTGTTGTGCAAATCCTCACAGGAGAGAATTAACATTTTCAGGAGGATCCAGGAAAAGATGCTTCTACAAGAATAGGTCTTTAAAATAAAGAGCTGTGTCATTTCTGTGTCATTATTTCAGTATTAATTACCAAAACTATACTTACACACTTTTGGGCTATACTGTAGTTTTCACAAAGTAACAGCAACAACTAAGGTACATTTATAGAAATGGAAAAGTCAAATCAAAATATTCAGCCTCAAAAGAAAACATTAACAAAATGCTTTGTTCATCTTCAATGCTGATTCTCATTTTGGTGTTTTGTCTCCATTTTCATTTCAAAGGAAGTGTTGACAGTTTGGTTTGTATTCTGATCCAGAATGAAAGCAAAATTCCCCAACATTGTTCTGTCTTTTGAAGCTCAGATAGCAATTCCTTATCTCATCCCAGCAGGAGGTGCAGGCTGATCCCAGCACAGACAAGCACTTGTCCCAGGAGCAGTGGGGGAATGTTTCCAGCCTCTGCAGGGACAATCCTGGTGACTGTCCCATCCCATCTCACCTCTGGAGGGGTGCTCACAACTTCCTACCATCACATTTTAGTATACCTGATGGAGAGGAGGAAAGGATTCTCTGACAGTTGATAAAGTGTCAAGATTTATTTCTTTCAGTTAGTTGTACTTATTCCCAGCTTGGGAAATCTCTCTTCTCCCCACAGGAATACTGACTGGGGTCACATTTGCAAGTGAAAAACCTTGGATCACAGAGCAGTGTCACTGTATGTGACACACCCCACACACCCCCAGCCTGCCCAGAACACACACACACAGGCTGGTGTGTTACAGCTGGCCCACCTTTGCCCATCCATGTCAATGACAGTTTTATTCTTATTTTCACTTCAGAGAGCTGAGGCTGAGCCCAGTACATCACCCAGCTGGGAAGAGTGTCAGCACCAGGATTTGGCTGAAGAGACAGCCCAGGAGTTTCTGTCACACAGAGATGTCACAAGCAAGGACAGCACAGCAGTGACCGTGCAAGAGTGTCAAGAAATGCATACAAGAAGGAGGGAGGGGAAATAATGCTGAGTTACCTCCAAGGAGAGGAACGTGATAGAGAAACAGTAAAGAGTAAAAGATAAAACTCCAGTTTCCTTTGAGGAAAGGTTCTGATCTATGCTCACCATAACACAAGTGGAGCTGCAGCATGATACACGAGCACTTTGTGGGAAGTTAAATGTATTTGTCTCTTTAAATCCAATATCAGACTCTTTCACAACAGTAAAACTGTAAAAGAGGAATATTTATCCGTGTTCACTGCTGTCAAACCCTGTATACACACACTGTAACATCATACCTACAAAACTCTATCCCCACCAGACCAGCACAAAATCTTGTATTTAAAAGAAACCTAGAAAATTACAGAGCTTGCTTAAAATCTCATTTATTTGTATTGTAAGCCAAAGGATCATCCTCAACTCAGAAATGCACTGCTCAGCCTCCTTGGGAGCTGTAACAATCAGGGCACTTGTCAAAGAAAAATCCACAAGCAATTCAGTGACAGAGAAAAGGGGCATTTTTTACACACATGCTCGTGGTGTGCACACACACACACACACAGAGCAGTTTCCAGTTTCCCCTGTAAGCAAAATGCTGGTGAGCTCTATCCATTGTACCATTGGAAATAACTAAAACACAGGAGAGGAAGGGGAAATGAGGACATAAGTCTTTGTATGTATTTACACATCCCATTATTAAGATAAATGAAGGCTAATTAACATGGAATTAGCCACAAGTATGAAATACAAAATGAATTAAAACTCGTTTCTAAGTAAGATGAATATTACAACCAACTACTGTTAAAACTAAAATATAACAAGGTTTTGAAAGCTGTAGTGAAATATAAATTAATAATTCTAACAACAACAAAAAACCAAGTTACATAATTGTTTTAGAACACTTTGGAGAGCTCAAATTATTGCTTTTTTCCTCAGAAAAAGCCCAGCAGGGGGGAACCTCCCCTATTCCTCCTGCCAGCTGATATTACATTAACAAGAGTCTTCACGTTGAAGCAAATACTTCATATATTTAATAGCTGTTGAGAACATAACTCAGTTCTTCCTAAACAAAATGTAGCACCTCCTGTGAACATAAAAAGCACTGCTTTAATCTCTAATCAGTTCATATGCAGTAATGCCTTTGTTTGGAATGAATTCCACTCCTTCATTTGAATATGCCTGTAGTTGCAGGGTTCTGCTGAATCACAGCTTACACAACCACAGCCTCCGAACCTCCAGAGCCTCGGCACTGGGGCTGCAACTGTCTGGGCAGCAAGACTTTGTTCTGCAGCTTTCTGTGGCTTGGAGACACCATGGAAATCAGGAATTCAGCCTGCCCAGCATGCAGCTCTACCAGCCTCGTCAGACCTGTGTCAGCTTTACCCTGATACTTGAAAATAAAGACCAAAAGCAAGCTAATACTTTATACAAGCTCTCAGAACTGTTGGTCTAAAGGTTTACCTGTCATACATTATTTTAAACTTTTTAAATCAGCAGCTTTACCTTCTTTTCTCTGCCTTCTAGTTCTGAAATCTTCAATGCTCATTTGGGTTACATTTCAAACCTCTCAGTAGGTAGAAGTGTACTCGTTTCAACTGGCAACAGAAACTTCAGCTGAAATAGAAAATCCTAAGGCAAGTTGGAAAGGCATCTCTGCTCAAGTTTAAGTGACTTTCAATCACAACAGTCAAGCTGCCTCTGCCCTTCACATGTCAATTGGCACTGAGGTGGCTAACACTGCCAGATAAGGGCTGGAGTCAGAACACATTGTTTAATCAGACTGTGATTTGCAGCAGAGGTGCAAACAAGGTTTCTGTTCCTGTCATGCTGTGAGGTCCGGCAGTTCCCCTGTCCCACCACTCCCCCGCTCAGCTGCCCTGCTCTCTGCCAGGCTGTGTCACAGACACCCACACTCCAGGGTTTGGGAAAAGCTTCTTGGAACTGCATCCCGTGCACAGGCTCTTATCTGGCAGCCTGGGATGGCACCAAGGTCGTGTTTTCCCTCCTCTCAGGAACAGCCACACAAGGAGGGAGAAATTTCTGAGACAAAAGGGAGACTCCTGGAGTCTGTTTTCTTATGAAACCCTGAATTAGTCCTGACTGGATGGAGAACATCCAAAACTGCAATTCCTCAGAAATCCTATTTTAACTTTGGGAACATATCCTTTCCCTCATCCACAGTCCCCAAGCGTTTGTCTCTAACAAATGTATGATACATGTACAGTATATCCCATCTGTGCCAGTTTTCCTTTCATTAGGGGAAGGCTTCATTATCTCACCCTGCTCATCCAGCTCCTACTTTGCCTGTTAGATACAAAAATGAGCAGTTCCGAGTACTGGCTGATGTTTTCTGCTCAACAGACTTGAAAAGTAACATCATTTTATCTGCTGCTTCCTTGAAGCACTCCTACACACACCCTTGGGGCTCACACCTAGAAAATGCCCTCTGGGAGTCTGCTCTTGGATCACTGCTCTGTAGGAGTGTCCTCACTTCCAGTTCCCCAGGGAATGGTCCCAAGCACCTTTCAGCTACTGCAATTTAAATAAGCTCTTGTGCATATCACAAGATTATGATCCTACTTTGGAAATTCAAGCTAAATGAAGTATTTTTAATAAACATCAAAGCCATTTTGTATCCTCTTCCACTTTGAGGCTATTCATTTTGATCCCAGCATAAAGATCTCAACTTCCCCATCTCTGGAAGTGTTCAAGGCCAGGTTGGACAGGGCTGAAGTACCCTGGTCTAGTACTGTGGCAGGCTGTGGAACAAGATATCCATGATGGCCCCTTCCAACCCAAACCATTCTAGAATTCTATAGTTCTGTGATCCCAGAAATGGAAGTGCCAGGCAGAATACATTTCCATGCAGGAGAGGGGAGTCAGGGTCAGCACTGACTCCCAAGCTAGGGATGGAAAACAGTCTGGAAGTGGAACACTGCTGTTACTGTATAGGGAATAGCACTTAAAGAGGAAAATGGATCAACAGTACCTGGGTTTGTGCTGTTCACAGACAACAGTCTTGGATTGTGCCTAATGCAATTCACATTACCAAGACAGAGAACACATGCTTCAGCTGTAAGGGACTGGGGAGGCAGCCCACAGCTGTAGTCCACAAAGAAAGGATTCTCCTGCTGTTCTCAGCAACAATCTGAGTAGGCTTCTAGGATTTCCTGCTTTTTGTAATTTCAAGGGTTATTAGAAAATTGGAAAAAGAAATGTTTTAATTCTGAGTTTCAGTAAAAGAGTTCATATTCTTCATTCATGTCCTTCATGGAATGGAGTACAGGACTTAAAACTTCTGTGTAAGAAGAGAGCTACATTTAGTATCTGTGATTGGCTCCCAAGTACACAATGACACGATTTTCATATACCTTCTTCATAGTTTTCTCAATTTGCTTCAAAAATACTTGTGGAATTCTCCCACATAAAGTGTGCACTGTATCCAGAAACTTTGACTGCAGAGGGTAGTACAAGGACTGGAAGAGATTGTCTTCAAATGGAAACTAAGGAAAAAAAAAAAGAATTTTTAGTTTTCACTATTTGCGAAAGGGTATTTTACAAATTTCAGTAAGAGAAAGCCTTCCATAGGTAGGGAATGTCTTGCCCTCGCCTGCCGAGTGTCACCAACCCCATCACTTCACACCTTGCCTGCCTGAGAGTGTGCATTGACAGGAATTTTATTAATGTAAGGATACTGTAGGGAAACAGGAGTTTTGGCAAGCAGAGCTGTACACACACAACATCCCAAATGGACACATGCACCTGTGCCCGTGGACAAGCTTCTGCCCTCCATGTGCCTGGAGGCTTGAGGTGCTCAGGGAAGACAAGCTTTCCCTTATGGACTAGATCTGCAGCCCCAGCAGGAGAAACTCCACTCCAGCATCTTTTTTCTACCTTCAGTATTACAGAAAAACAATTTATCAGCCTTTTTGATTACTACAACATGAAGGAGAAATGTTTAAACCACCTCAAATGCATGAGAGGCCAAAGCAACCATGTTCATTTGTATCTGGTGGGTTTTACATAAACACAACTACCCAGCCTGATCGCTGGCAGAGCAACCTGAGTGAAACAGGAATCCACCCTGGGACACCAGGAGCCCGGGACACCAGGAGGGCTCTGTGGAGCAGCACTTACATCCCGGATCACCTCGTAGAGGGCTTTGAAGGTGGGCTGCTTGTCATCGTGGTAGACGCCTCTGTTGCCGTGCAGGATGGAGACCCCCTCGTCCTCCGCCCCCCTGCAGTTGCTGCCGTACATGCAGTGGTCAGGCCGGTAGTTCCACTGGCAGGGGAACACGTACAGACACTCTGCCCACGTCAGCAGGGCACAGGGAAGGAGAAGAGACATGTCAGAACAAATTAAATCAGCCTAGGACTGATGATCAGGGAATATTCTGTTACATCTGTTGCAAGTATCCCCGACAGAGACACTTCCTTCCCTCATGGGTGACTACACTTCCCAGCTGTTGGTCCTGAACAGACAGGACAGCACAAAATCTGGGACCTAACACAACCCAAGACAGCCCTTTAGGAAGTTAAAGTGGAAGAATCAAACCAGAGAGCACACAGCAGGTGGCACTGTCCAGCACCCTCTGCCATGGGAAGGAGTTTCTGGAGTGACAGGAATGACTGGGGAAGCACACACAGCAGTGAGGGTTATGAAAAATCCAGACTCCTCCTGGAGCCAGCATGGGAAAAGTACATCCAGTGTTTGTTGCTGGAGCTGTCACAGAGGCCATGACAATTTGTTACACAGCAGAGCATAAGGGGTGGTGTATTTTATCCACAGCCCTCCAAAGAGTCATCATCCATTAATTTCACAGGTCTAGGTTATTTAGAGATGAGCCTAATTTCTCAAAAGGGCTCATAACTCCCCTTCTCCTAGCGATTTTTTAAAAACTGTGCACACAGTGCCTGCAATCTGCTTGTCATAAATCATTCCAGTCCCTGCAACCTTTCTGCCTCGGCCCTGGGGAACAATGAATCATGGCTGGTGCCAGCAGGGCACTGAAGATTGAATTCTTCCCTTGGCCTTTCCCAGCTTCCTGGGAAGCCTGCAGCTGCTCCCGTGTGGTTCTTGAAAAGCAGGAGAAACTTTCTGAACTTTTCTTTCCTTAAGGCCTCTCCAGCAGAGCTCTCCAGAAAGGGAGAGCAGTCTTTGGAGATGGGCAAAGGGAGCAGCTCCTCAGGCCTGGGGAACAGAGCTCTCTGTGGTTTTAACTCACATCTGTAAAAAGGCACCTGCAGCAGTCTTGGCCAATTCCCTCCCCAGGCAGTCTCACTAACCCAGAGCTTAAGACCCCAGGAAGTCCAGTTTTGTCTTAATTGTATCCAGAAGCAGGGAATCCCTTCACTTCATCATTAATTTTATACCTCATTATTTTCTCAAATCTCCAGAAAGCAGATTTACATATTCAATGGAACCAAGTCCAAGCCCCATTACCTGCAGCAATGTCAGAAACATTTTTATAGGTTAGAAATATTTTGAGGATGCAATTACACAATAACTGCATACCAGAATATTGTGCATATTATAAATAAAAAATAGCAGTTAAAAAAAAAAAAAAAACAAGCTCAAGATATTTTCTCAATGCAGATAATGACAACACGGAGAATCATTCCTTACCTGGGTTAAAGTAAAAAATTATATTTAGCAAATCCTGGTCTCCCCACGTGATGTAATTTTTGTACTTTTGGTACAATGGATATAACATTTCCTCCCAAGTCAAGCCACCTGGTATCAAGCTGTTCTGCAGGGCAGGAAAACAGAAGCAAGGGATTAATGTCATGATCAGTGCTGTGGATCTGACTCAGAGTGGGCACACACAAATCTCTAAGTTCTGCTAAGCCATGTTGGACACCCAGGTGAAAAACACAAATCTGCCAGGAGATGTTAGACTTGGACAGGGCTGTAACAGCAGAACTCACTGTGTTTATCTAAACAGGAAAACAAAGTCTCCTGGGCCCAGCTCTGATGTCAGCTCCTGCTATTCACAATCTTCCTATTCCAAGTAACAGGAGGGGTAAAAAGTGAACAAGTGGGAAAATGCAGGGACAAGGTGAAAATCAAGGTATAAAAGCAGGGAAAATTACAGACTAAAGATCATCTTCCCTGGGAATTACAGTAGTAAGTGCAAAGTTTGGGTTGTTTTTTTTTATCCCCAGCTGTTCCTGTAACAATGCAGGAAACTCCTGGCTTGCCTGAGGAACCACTTGGGGTAAGCAAAGTTTCAGTGGTGAGAGAATACGTGCTCAACAACATGGATCTGTCATGAATATGTGCCCTTCTCACTTACACCAGCTATCTGCAGCAGGATGCAAAACTCTATTCACAACACATGCAAAAATCACCAATTTCTCTGGGTATTCACAACAAGCTTTCCAATTTTAAAAACAATGTAACGACTGCACTGAAGATCTTTGAGGTTGTTTTTTTTTCATGTATCTTTTCATGGAAATGTAAGTTGGGGAAGCCATTTTTAACACTGCTACCAGACTGCTCCAGCTGCAAGTTCCCACTGCTCCAGCCTTGAGGAAGTTTCACTTTTTCAACAACCACATTCACAATAGCTTTTAGTATCCAATTCCACATCTTCTGTATTTCTCTGATTCTCTGTCTTACGAACTTTATGCAATTTTACACCGAGCTTGCAGATGTGAGAAACGCAGCAACCCTGAGCCTCTGCAACAGCTGCATTTGCTCTCACCTTGAACTGAGTGCTGCGGATCCGTGTCAAATTCATCAGCATCACCCCGGAGTTGACACCGGTGGAGCCGTAATAAGGGTGACGGGCGAAGCGGCTGTACCAGCCGATCTTGGGGATCTCGTGCTCGGGGGCCATGGCAGCCAGCTGGGTGGAGTTGAAGTCTCTCAGGAGGTGCCAGATGTCATCGATGGGCCTCAGGAACAGCACGTCAGTGTCCACGTAAAGCAGGGAATCCACGTCCTTCAAAATCACCTTTGGGGTTTGAGCAGCGGGGCGAAAAACAAATCACAGAGACAACAAACACAAAGATTATTGGCAAAAGGCACTTTTACTTTAAACTGGTAATTTGGAAGAGGTTATTGATTTATCAGCTAAATGTAATTACAAAGAGGAACAACAGTTATCAGATTATTGGCTTGTTGTTTGCTGTGGATTTTTTTTGAACTGCACAATAAAACAGCTACCAGAGCACTGGGGCTGCATTAACCTTCTTATGAAGCAGCAATTCTCCAAGCTCCCAAAAGTGTCTGCAAGGACTGCTTAGTATCTGTTCAGAGATGCAATGTAAATAATATATATTTACAGAGCTCTTTCCAAGATCTTAGCTGGTGAAGCACGCAGTGCTCTCCACAGGCAGAAAGGGTAACCCAGGACACCAGAATATTTAGATTTACTTTCATATATAATTAATGTATACAACGATTTCAGATTAATTAAGACAACACCATTGGTCACCAATATATGTACATCCCCCTGAAGAACAAAATTCGGCTGTTAAAAAGAAAAGTCACATTAAAACACACCAGGTTGTACTCTGAGCTCTGTTAGCAGACTCTGTATGGGAATAACCACAGTAAAGCTGGTCAGGTCAGAAGGGTGGAAACTGCAGATTAGAGCCAGGAGATTTCAGTGGTTCCTGCTGACCATGTTCCCCCTTGTGGCTGCCCAAATCCTTGCACACTCCTTCATTAATATCCACGGTGGCACAAATGACCTGGTGTTTCAAGTCTTTGTCAAGTAATAAAGATCATTACCTACAGCTGACCACCAGTTCCAACCACATTTTTGTTGTTCTTCTTCATTATTTACTAAAATTGTCGAAAATTTCCTGAAGGACTGAGATTTTTTTTTTTGGTCTAGCCAAAAACCGTATTTACTTCTCTTTCTTTGAAAAGCAAATCCAAAAGGCTTTGGATTTTCACCACGTGGAACACAACAATCACTCTCTCATCCACCTGCAATGACATTAATTACAAACTCTCCTATTTATGCAGGTTACAAGAAATTCTACCAAAGAAATTGGGTTTTACATAAATTCTAATGCACTATGACTGCGGATTACCCGTGAAATAGTGAACAACATTAGGATTTTCAACAAGTGGGTGAGAAATATCACCTCTAAGCATGCTCAACAGGAATCCACTAAGATGCCAAATCCGTGAGTAAAGACTTAAATGAGATTTTTCACCTGACTGAACACTTTGGGATTCAGACTGACATTTAGTCAAGTTTAACAAATCCCTGACCTGTATTTCTGACAGGATAACTACATGTTCTTCCTACAGAACAGGGCAAGTAGGAGAAGGAACTGTCTCTGCATTTTAAACAAAAGTTATGCTTACAACAAATTCTAAGCAAACACATTCAACACAATTCAGATTTCTCTGCTGGATGGAAGTTTATAGCAATATACCATTTTTCCACAAAAACCCCATAAACCAGCATGTGGAGGTATCAATAAATAAGTGACAAAAATAGTTCCATAATACACTAAGAACTCAGAGTAAATATTTGCAGATATTAAGTATCCTCAAGTCCAATACTAAAAAACCAAACCAATAAAAAAGACAGCTACTGTAAGAGTAAATCAATAGAAGAAGGTCTGAAAGGAAGAAAGGTTTTCAGTTTAAGGATATCTTGGGGTATTGTGTATTAATTATTCTGCAGCACCTAGGAGCCCTGATTCATAGGGACGTGCTATATGAAGTCACATAAAATCAATAGACATTTAAAAAAAGAAAAATCACCCCCAGATTTAGTCTGAGATAGGAGGTACCACTGGAATACAAGCAGAGCAGAAGCTATTGGACTTTTCCTGTGGATCCACAGCACACTGCAGACCATGTAAGATTTTTGTCTAAGGGGGCCCTGGTAAAAGGGCAATGTTGAGGCATTTTCCAGCAGGAAAAACTTACCCCAGTTCAGGGGGAAGTTTCACAGGGGCCTAGAGACCCTCCTCATCCTTCCCAAGCATAAATGACAGTGGTCACTGCTGGACACTGCTTCTTTCAGCAAAAAAACATTCTTTCAGCAGCTTCCAATACACAAATAATTTAAATCTGTGGAAGTCTATGGACTGTAATAATTTTCCTAGAGATTCAAGTAGGTATTTCAGTTCTTTGTGCAGTGCCCACCAGCACCTGACCCCACCTTGTATTCCTCCTTTCAGAATTCACATTGCTCTCCTTTCTGCTGAGATTCTTCCTTCTCCTGTGTCCAAGGTGTTGCCCTGCAGTGACACCCAACTGGCTAAAAAAAGAGCTGTGCTACCTCCTTTAAGCCCTTCCCACTTTCACATGTTGAGCGTTAAGACTCCTTTAAAAGCTGCAGATGTCAGTTTGAATTGCTCACATCTCTCCTGCTGTGCCTTGGGAAGGGGGGGATTTAATTTCACCAACTGCAGCTGTAGGAGTTTCTCACAGAGCAGGAACCTGCAGTGCAGGTTAAAAGTGACACGCAGTGACCTGGAGCAGGAGCTTTGCCAGGCTCTGTCTGGAGGTCTGAGCTCACACAAACCATGCAGACACACCTGACAGCCTGGGATTTTGGAAAGGGATGGCCAGAAACATGGCTTGCTCTGCTTGTCTTCCCCTTGCTCTGCAGGCACTTACAGCTTAAAAGTGTGATTCTTTTTTTTTTTTTTTTTTTTTTTTTTTTTGCAGCTATATAGAATATTCTTAGTAAATCTGTCAAAAAGTTCTGCACAGAACTGGCTATATTTAGCCTGGCACTTCACTTAAATACTCAATTATCTGTAATTTGATTTCACAACTTCTGTCTCCATAGATTCTCCCTGTGTTAGCAAGGTTGGCAAGAATTAACACACTCCTGAGTAAACACACGCTGGTGTACTGTGAAGCTGGACTACCTAAGGGCTTGTGAGGGCTCATGTGGCACCTCAGCACAGCTTTATCCAAAATTAGGTACAAATCACTAAGCTTGATGCTAGAGTTACAGAGCCACGAAGTTGAGTTACTAAACCTCATTGTAGTAAGAGATTAACTCAAGTTACAGCAGAGGCTTTTGTCTAGATAAGGCCCTGGCATCTATTCCCACTGGGCTGGATACTTGAGCATCCCTCAAGAGGAAAGCTCTAACACAGGGATATTGCTAATCTATCTTAAAAGCTCCTAAGTAGATTAAGTGTTTTGAGAAGGGCTCTAAATGTTCATCCAAAAATCATCCAAAAATCCCTTAAGCATTTCAGGATACTTGAGCCGATTGTTTTGGTAGCTCCAGAAGAGCAGCACAGAAACAGCTGCAGCCAGCCCTGAGGGACCAGCATCCCTGGGACCAGAGGATGCTCCTCACCTGCTGCTTTAACACCCATGTCAGGAGCACAAACCAGTTCCCAGGGACTGCTGAGAGCACTACCCTCCTGGTTTAATGGTAAAGTTTCATTCTGTGCTTATAAAAAGATCTACATCTTCCTCTCTGTGTCTCTGCAAATGCCCTGGATGGTTTTATTGCAGCAGAATGCAGTGAGAGACTGACTTGTGAGATTACACTGAGGCTCATTCTACATCCCTGCATCTAAGTGGCAAATGTGATGTCTCAGAATGCCTCTGAAAAATGCAGGATGCTGTACAGTCTTCCTTAATATTTTAGCATCCTGGGTAGAGTCAACAAGTTGGGAATGTGAACTTCAACCTGTTGCCCAGGATAGAACAGATCAGTACTGCAAACGGCAGGGTCCCATCTCAGAGCTTTACTTTCATCACCGGGTAAAAAACACTGAAAGGTTCTTACCCAATTTTCCCTGAACACATTCCTCAGACCCTCCTGTCCACTTTCACACGCCTGCTGGTGCTGCAGAGGAGATTTCTTTGGCAGGAGAGGCACTTGTGAATCAAAGACTCGCATTCCACTCAGGCTTAGCATTATCAGGAGCAAGACAATTTGCACAACTGAGGGCTAAACAGCTGATAACTACTGCTCTCCTGGGGTCCTCCCTAAATCCAGGCACATTTCACGCTGCTGCAGGGAAAAATGCTCAGTACGGGTAAGGATAAAAAAAAAACAAATTGATATTCTGCTGGTATTTATGAAAAATAAAAGTCAAACTAGTTCTCTAAACAGTAAAATTTGGAACCCTCTGTTCCCACCGTGTGCTGACAGTTTAAGTGGGATATCAGAACCTAATTATCAAACACCAAAAAAGAAAATAATGGCTGGAATTACCCAGAAACAGCCCAAAGTTGTGTCAACCTGTGAACTCGAGCACCAAACCTTGAGGGTCCCACAGGACATTTGCCACCTCAGCTACAACGACAGCTTGTTTATTATACCCACATCAACTCCGTGTCAGCTGCAGCTCCTCTTGGACAGCCCCTCCTACACAAAGCCATAAACCCCAGCCTGGCCACACACAGCATTTTGTAACTGCCCCTGGAGAAACAAACATCTACAGTGCAAGCTGCCCCCTCATTCTGCTAACACAGCGTGCAACAGTCTAATATTCCTTAAAAGAAGTTCCTGGAGAACTTCAGCAACGTGTGAGTGACAAAAAGGGATCAGTAAAAGCACTGCCCAGCCTGAAGGAATCAGCACGAATGTCTAACCCCTTTCTGTCATCAGAACAGTGAAGAGAAATAAAAGTTAAGTCATTCCTATGAGTAGTCTCCCAAAATGACAGAAAGTATCACAGAAGAACAGAGATTTCTGTTTACCCAGGACACCCTGACACTCTGTATGGAACAAGTTAAGGCTTCAGGATTATTTTCCAGGTGATACAAATATTTACTCAGGGGAGAGAGGATCTCTGCTGCAGTTGGAGTTACTTCCAGCCCATCTGGCCTTTGTGCTGCTGATAGCCCACCCCTAAATGGCAGATCAGCAGAACTGCTGACAGCACATATTTTCTCACATATGTATTCACAGGCTACGTATCTGGACATGCAGCTGTCTCCTGATTGCTTCCATCTGAGAGGGGAAAGATTTCTTTGTCCCCCCCACACTTCTCCTAAGACAGTGATGAAGAAATCTGGATCATGTGAACAGCTTGTCACTTCACTGGAGTCACCCCAATCAACAGCAACCCACGAAATATTTTTGATAGATGTTCTCGGTTCCACAGAAATTGCTTTATGCAAACATTCCTTCAACTTCTGATATGCAAAATTGGTATCAACACTTCCTTTCTCTCCAAGTTTACGACACTGAGTATAATAAAACTTTTCAGTGAACTTGAAAAGTCCAGGATACACCAAGCTCTTGCATGAAATCCAACTTAGAACACGCTGGAATTAGTACCTTAAGGGCAATTCTAAGAGTCTTGGAAAAAATAAGTAAAACTCAAGGAAACGGGAATGCTGAGAGCATCAGTTTAAGGGCTAACATATGGAAAGTAAGATGGTGGGTAAAGAGGGCATGTTGTAAAGAATGTTATTTACAGAAGGCACACAGCATCTACCCCAAAAGATGTGCCCTGAGAGAGCTCTCACTCTCTCTGGAGTCTGGAGAGCCCGAGAGGCTCATGGAACCAGAGACAAATCAGAAACACACATCCTTTGTTAGCCAGGAAAAAGCCAGGCTGGATTTCTGTGTTGTTTTTTTACAGTGTCTTAAAGCACGGACTAAAATTATCTTTAAGCAGATGTTTCAGCCTAAAAATGGTTTTAATATTACACCAGCAAAGCTTCCTTTCTGTGGAATTAACCTTTTCCTGAAGCAACCTACTCAGAAATCCAGGTGCCTTACCGGAAGAAACAGGCGCTGGGCAGCACATGGTTTGAATAACTTTTTCCATTCCTGAGCATTTCCTACTGAGAAGGTTATTGGGTAAATGTTGGACTCAAACTTCTTTGTATATGAGGAAGGCCACTCCTTTAACTGAAAGACATGGTGGGAGGAAATCAGACACTACACATTATAGAGCTTTTGTAAAAAAATGCAATCATAAGGAATTTAATTGTGTACAGTAAACAACGTGCTCAGCTGCTACTTGTTGATGCCAATGTAATTTTTCTCAGAAATTTACAACTTACAACTAACTCATTTATTTATTTACCAAATGACAAAGAAACTCACCTTCTTCTCAAATTCAGGCTTAAGGGAATCCTCGGCAAAGATGTGGAAGCAGAGCCTGTTGTTGCTGAAGAGAACTGCTGATTTCAGCATGATCAGAGTCTCCTCCAGCCGGTCCCCACATGCCACCACTGCCAGATGCATGCACTGCAAGGATGAGGGCTCCTTTGGATACTTCTGCTCTGCAGGCTTCCTGAAAATTCAGGGATAGGCACATAAAAATTACTGAGGTAGACATGAAGAGAATCCCTCATTAACAGACATCAGGGTTGTTGTATTTTTCTTCATCATTTTGCAAGAGATCAGGAGGTTTTTTCTGGTTAGATATTTATAGAATAAGCAAATAGCATGGTAGTTTCTGTCCATGGTCCAGATCAATAGTGTTCCAACTACAGCATAAAGAAAAAGGCTATTTCCTGTTATTCCTACATTTCTGAGTTTGCAGAAATCACTGCACTACAGACACTGCAGATGAAGCCAATTTCACAGCACCTCAAACCAGACACCACCTTGCTCTGTGCAAATGACAGCCCCGAGGTCACTAAGCCAAAACACAGTTACAACCACCCAGCCAACTTTCTAACACAATGCAGATCACACAACTGCATCCAGCACCTTCATTTCCAAGCCCATAATGGCTAGACTGGAAGAAGACATCCATACTTTAAAAAAAAACAAAAAACACTCCATCCATATGTAAATTGTTCTAACAGTTAATTAATTTTGCTATTAAAGATGCATGCCTTAATCCTGGCCTGAAGGCACTGGCAGAGTTTCAAAGGACTGCTCTCCATTTCACCCCATGGAATCCATGAGATTTTGCTAAAATAGAGATTTTTGAAAACAAATATAGTCACATATCCCAGATGAATCAGACTACATTCCAAGGGCCAAACTGTGGGATTTTCACTTAGCACCCACCTGTGTGGGCTTTAAATACATTTCATCCAGATATAGGGAACACAGTAAGAGGCACAATGAAGCTTCCTGCTAGCCAGAAAAATCAGCTTCTCCTGGGGAGTTGAAGACCTTTTGGAAACAGTCTTTTGGTTCTGTGTTTAGTGTGGAGGTAAAAATTGCATCCTCCAGGAATGTTGCACCATGGTGCATCCACATTCCAACACAGATGGCACTTAGCCTCCATCACACGGCATGGAGCTGACCAAGCAACTAAATCCCAGGCACAGTAATCATTCGTGGAGAGTTCAAAATGCAAATCATAGATCACTGCCTGCTCTGGACATAGCTCTGAGCAGAGGACATCAATCCCAGCCCTGCTCAGCACACACAATTACACACACACAATTAATCACTGGAGTTATTGCTACAAACAGAAGTTCTAAATAAAGAGAAAAATGACAGTTTTAAGCCGTTATTATTTTTTACAGACATTGAAGGGCTGTTCTGTGTAACAGCAGCATTCTACCCTTCAGAGTAACCCACCTCTATGTAAAGGAACAGCAGGCACTGGCACTTCACTGACTATATAAAGCAACACGTTTCATTAAGGGTTTTAAATCTTCTGCTTTTGTCTTAATTATCCCCAGTTTCATCAGTGTATAAATAATAGAATCTTACATCTATGCGAAGTGGTATTTACTTTCCAACCTATTAGTGTAAAAATCGCTGAATTATTGACGTGAATCATTAGCTGCTCACACAGATCACCTTTCCCCCCTTCTCCCTATCTGTGTAATGCTTCCCCTTAATTGAGTCTCTAAATCAAGCCATGCACAGGCTGGGACCTGCTTTGATGTAGTTTCTGGCAATGGAATTCACTGGGAGAGGGACTAAACCCTGCACTTCTATTGCAACATTTCAAAACCCCACACCAAAGCACTCAGCTTTCCTGGGCAGTTTTAGCCACGGTGAGCTCTGATCATGCAGCTGTTCTGCAGTGAAAAATCCAGTACATTAGACAATACTTCCAAAGGACAGACTCAGCAGAAGCAATCCTTGGTAAAAGCAGAATGCTTGGAAAGCACATAGGAGTAGGGATAACAACAGACATCCAACACAGGCACCATGGAGAAAGCTGAGTGTTGAAGGTGAGGAATTACCAACAGTGCAGGGGTTCAAGAGTCTGGAGTGGCCTGAATTTGAATAAAAATCCCAGAAAAAGGAGCTACTTCAACTACATCAGTCATAGTCTGGGGCACTGAGGGCAATAAACAGTGAGAGAAATAGCAATGAGTTGCAGAAGAATTTTGGGACACAACATTTTGCACCTTCTTTGTAAGTACATAAAGAAACTTAGAGGACAGTGAAAACAAAGGTGAGCTTCAATGGGAGATAAAACAGTGCCCCAGCAGGATGCATCTGACTGCAATTTTAACTTAGCCTTTGAAAAATATCAATTATCCAGAAGCCTGAGAAGGGGCAGGTGTAGAAGAGGCAAACAAACAGGTCATGGCAAAGAACATCCCAGCTCCCCTTCCCTGCCCTGTTCATGCACGCCCCTCATGCAGGGCAAGGAGAATGGAAGGGACAAGGAGGAACAAGAGCTGGATGAAAGGACATCCCTTAAAGATGTGCAGGACACAGCCAAGTTGTCCTACCTGTAAATGGGAACTGCTGTTACAGCTCGAAGAATTTCCCACCTCAAGAGACTCCCAAGACATTAAAAAGCCCATAGATCCATAGAGTAATGCATCATTAGCCAATTCTTCCTAACATTTACATTCACTCCTTTATAGTTCAACTTGAACAGTCTGTAGTTGGATTTTATAACCTAAATTAAATGTTTAAACACATTGAAAGCAATGCAGAGACCTGGGCCCCAATGTTTAATATGTTTGACAAGAACAAATATACAAACTAAGATTAAGCACTCCACAAAGCATCACAAAATACTTGCAGAACACATCCCCATGGAGTGGCTGGGGACTGAACTCGATGAGATGGAGCACAATAAAATGTTTACAGCAAAGACCTTCCAACAATACAGAGCAACTCCCATCCAGTTGCTCACCCGTGTTTTATTTACTGAATACAATTTTTTCAGGAAGGCACTGACACAGCAGGAGCAGCCTGAGTGCTCAAGCACAACAGTGTGCATTCCTAGGTCTTAAAGTTTAGGTTACATGTAATTTTCTTATTAGTCACAGCCAAAGTGTCTCAAACTTAATTAACCTAAAACCTGTCTAAATCAATCCAAATCCATTCAAAATAATGTGTTCCCACCTCATTACAGAGCCTGCTAATCTATTCAAGCCTTCAAATTTATTCCTGAAAGATAATGCATGCAGACACTTCCAAAATGCAATACAGTTGTTAATTTTTGAAACCTTCTTCCCATTATGATCTCATTTACTTTTGCAGCACAAACAAGGGTAGATTTAGGCGTTGTATCAAAGCTGGTGATTCACTGAACAGGCTCCTTCCCTGACAGCCACCCTTGCCTGAGTCAACATCCCAACCACAGCTCCATGATGTGAAACACATTTTCTTGCACACTTTGAAATACAAATGTTTTCAAATCAACCTTTCTCACTTTGCAGCAGTTGCAAAAAATCGACTGTAGCTGCTGTCAATCCAGAAATGGTTGAAGTTTCAACCTTTGCCTACCACTCAGAGGAACGGAAAAAAGACACTCAAAACCAGAATGGTTTCTCTCTCCTTTTACAAAGTGGGTTCTTTATAAAACAAGTATGAAATACTTGAGGTTTCAGCATGTTATTAGCAAACTCAAGCCAAAATTGCATGTGCTGCACACAGGCTGCACAGACAGAAAAAGTATCTTGACGGGTTGCCACGCAAGGGATGTTTAGCACTGAAAAAGTTACTTTCAGTGCTGGCGAAGGTTCACTTCCCCAGCCTTGCCACGCTGGTTTAAGAGAGAGCATGGTCACATCTGCCCTTCAAATGTAAAACAATCCTTCTTTTTGATACTTTGCACACATGGGTTTGGCACGTAGTTAAAATTCTTTATATAAAAAAGCCTTACCAAAGGCATAGAACTTGCTACTTCCAACAGGAACGAGCAGCAAAACCACCACAAAAAATCGAGTTTTCAAAGCTTACCAGATACTTACCTAGATTTGTCAATATTACTTAATGACCAAAGCAGGACACGTGAATGTCATTGCTAACATTTGTGAAGCACCAGCCAGATAATGACATGTGCCTACATTAAGCTTTATGTATAGCTTATGTTAAAAGAATTTTGCACTTCCTATAACTTAGTGTCTTCTGATATTATGTGACTACAGAAACCAATATTACAAACCCCAGTCAAAATACAATTCATCTTCCCTGCAAGATGCTGATTCTCACAAATCAAACACAAACCCTAAGTAACACCTTTGTTTCTGAGCTGAGACCAAAACTTGCATCTTCTGACAAACCAACTTGACAAAACTGAATTTAAATGTTTTACATTCACACAGACAGAACTTCACTAAAGTTCTGCTAATCAATTCTGCAGTCTCATACAAGCATGTACACTGTGATCACCTCACAAAATCTTACACAGTCCTAATCAAATTTGTTATTATCCTGAATGAATCAGTTAGATAAGGTGGGATCTCTCATATCAAATAAAAAAAAATAATGTGCCTTTCCTCATAAGGAGGAACTAAAATTATCATCATGGGTTGTTTCTTGCAATCCAAATTCAAGGCCCTTCACTGCTTTCAGTTTAGCTTGGATCAGGCTTTTTAAGTCTAGCAGATCCCACCACCTGATGCCTTTCCAACCAGGCAAGCATCACCTCCACTTGAACCACTTATGTCACACCCTCCCCACAAAAATTCTTCTTTTATGGATACCCTCACCTGAATAAATCTTAATAGTAACTAACATAACAAAGAATCTTTCAGCAAATGGCTGAACAGGACACAGAGAATTGTGCTTCTTAGTTATACAAACTCCTGCTGGGGCCAGTGGTGCAGGATGACAAGGGAAAAAACAACCACCAAGCTCCACAAACAAAATTCTGAAGAAAATGCACACTTTGAATACTAAATTCCTCCTTTTTCTTTTTTGCTGTTGTGTTGCAGACCTTGTATAAAGGCCTTGCAAAGTCAACAAATAATCAAAAAGTTAGATAACGTCAAATTGTGAAACATGAAGATGCCACTGAAAAGCACATTAAGTGGAATGGTTGTTTACACTCTCTGGCAGTTCCATGCTTTCCGGGCTCCCTCCTTCAGTGTTCTTCTTGATTTCCATGATAATCACAGAGATATGCCTTAAAGAAAAATGACTTCAGGAGGTACAGTTGCTAGTGGAAATAATCCTGCTTTAATACCGGCATTTGAATTCTGTCCGTGGCCCACTCTCAGCCCCAGAAAACATCTCCTGCATTCAGTGGGGTAACAATGCTGGGGAGAAACCAACTGCTTTAATAAGTTAAGGAGTAAGAGCTCAAAAAACAGGAATAGTGTTTCATTCAGAACATCTCTGTGAAATCATGAATCAGAGACACAAAGACATACCAAGTTAATTAGATATATGAGGTCACACTGACCATAATATAATTGGAATGCAAAGGGGAAAACAAGTCCTCCACCCACTGAAAGCTGCCCTTTCTCAACTAATTAGTTTTTTTAAAAAATACCCTGCCTGTAAGGTGCTAGGAGAGGAAACACCACGATTTAAAACACCTTTAAAGTTCTGCTAAATTAATTTACATATAAAAAACATTCAAAACAAAAAAGCTGGAAAGCTTAAAATCTGCCAGTGCCTCCGCAGTTTGGAGCCCGGTGGCACCACAGGGCAATGACGAGCCGCCTTCCCTTTTCCCTGGAAATCCCGCAGAGCTCCCGAGGTGACAGCCCCGCATTCCAGACAGCGAGCACCGCACTGCCCACGTCAGCCCCCGAAAGAAGGCCAGAACTAATGGAAAAACCGCTATTTCACAAGAAAATAGGAGGGAACCCCCCCGCTCGGGCACAGCGAAAACCTTTCCCGGCATCTCTGCCAACTACGCTGCCAGGGGAAGCACGCAGGGAAAAGTTTGTACTTGCCAACCTCAGCAGTTTGCACAGGGGTCTTTCACCACCGCTCACGAGCGGGGGAAGAAATTCGGGACAGAGAAGCGCCGGACGCACCGGCACCAAAGCGACACCGCCCCGGGGAGCCGCGGGTCACGCGTGGGGCTGGCACGGGCACGGCGGGCGGGGGATGCCCGAGGGCACGGGATTCCCGAGGGCAGGGGATTCCCGAGGGCAGGGGCCGGGCGATGGAGCCAACCCCTTTACCTGGCGCTGGCGCTGCCCCCGGGGCTCCTCCTCGGGGGGCTCCGGCCGAGGCGCGGCGGGCGGCGGGCGGGCGCGGAGGGCGGTGCGGGCGGCGGGGCCGCGCTGCCCGCCAGCAGATAGAGCAGCAGCAGCACGGCCAGGCACAGCAGGGCCGCCGCTACCTTGCAGGGCCGCCGCATGGCCGGGTCAGCACGGCCGCATGGCCGGCAGCGCACGGCGGCACGGCCGGACCAGCAGCGCAGCACGGCCGCGTCCCGCCGGCCGCATCGCCGCAGCCCGGCCCGAGCGGGGACGTGGCCGCACAGCCCGGGCCGAGCGGGGCGGGGCGGGCCGGGCCGCGCCTACCGTACTGCCTGGAGTACTGCCCGCCCCGGCAGCGCCCGGCCGGGCTGGAACAGCGCGCCCCGGCACGGGCTGGGTGTTCATAGCGAAGCGAACAGCACCACGCACGGAGCGCGGCCGCTCCCAGGGAGATTTGGTTTCGTGGGTGGGCAGTGCTGGCAGAGAGTGAGTGGGTGCAGCGAGGTGATCTGCAGAAAAGGGGGAAGCTCGTCTCGACAGCGCGTTTGCTCTGCCTGTGCTGACAGGAAACCGAGCCTCCCTCCGCCTTGCGGCCGCAGTTTATCACCTGCAGACGATACGCACTCCTCGTTCCATCTGCATCGAGGGCAGGTAAACGATAAAGTGCAATACGTGTACAACTGAGAAGGAACAAGGCGCCCACTCGCTTGTGGGTGGCTTTGTCCCCGTGTGACCCATCCTAGGCAGTCTGCTGTGGAACATCAGCAGAAATCACAACATCGAATTTCACAGGAGTGAAATTTACTGCTTGGGGTCATAATCTGATTTACGACCTTGAAATGTACAGAACGACAGAAATACAAGGATTCTTGCTGCCCCATGGAGCTGGAGTAAAAGCTGTGCAAACAGTGGAGACACCAAGGTTGGAGAGGGCAGAGAAGGGAAAGTGGAGCCTCGCGAGTTCCATACTGGAGGAACCTCCTGGAGCCACTGGAAGTGACACTGGTATCCACTCGGCAGTGCAAATGTACAGCCTGTCCATTTTACACTGCTCACACCACATGCCCTCACCAGTGGGATCCCAAAATATGCTTTGCCTTAGCATCAGCCCAAATGTGAAGAGTAACTACTGTTTCAAGAGTTTCATCCAACTCGGATTGTGGCCAGATAAGAAAATGTAAATTACTTGATGCTAAGAGAAAATAGCAATACTAAATGAGAAACTACAGAAAAACCACAATGCATAAACATATGCTCTTTCCCGAGAATATATGCACTGTAATAAAACCCTACCAAACCTTATACTTTTTACTCTTTAATGAAAAAGAGTACCAGTGGTACTGAAATCCTGGAGCTGTTAAAACGTGTGATTTTTCTATTATCAATACAATCACTTTCTTCTCTGTCTGTGTCAATTAAGCCCTTTTAGTAATTTTGTTTTGGATTACCATTTCCAAGGTTGCCAGATTAACACATTATTAGAGATGTAGAACCAATTGTCCTTATCAATTGCAAAGCTTCATGTTTCTATTTCTCGACCAAACAGCAAGTTGTCCTAATTACTTGCCCAAAACATTGAAGAGAATGCATTTTAATTCTTCTGTGCTCCATTAAATATATACTAGCCAAATTCCCTTCACCAGAAAGATGCACTAGAAGATGTAGTCTTTATACATTTCCAAATAAAACTTTTTTACAGTTCTAAAAAAATTCAGTATGTATTTTACAGAAGAAAGCAGTACACATTCCTTAGAGATGCTACTTCATCCTTTATTTGGATGGAAAAGCAGAATGGCTAATGCACCACTTTCTTCACAAAAATCAATATATAAATAGTTCTTTTACAAGGAAAGTATTAGCACAAAAAAAAAAAAAGAGAAAGAAAGCTGGGAGTTCTTAGGCTCTAAAAAAATAATTGAGGCAGTCTTGGAAAGTGTCAGACAAGAATAAATTCTCAGATGAAACTTCTTTATCTTTCACAGGCTTGTCCTGCAAATTTGAATTTACCCAGAGAAGATGATGCCTACTGGTTCATAATCCAGCTTCCTGTCTAATATCCTTATTACAGATTACTTGGTAAGGGCCAAAAGTTAATTAGTGCTGAAGTTCTCTGGAAATGCATCAAAAATTTCTGAGGACACGACTGAGGCCTTGGTCCAAAACAAATCAGCATCTGAAATTAGATATCATTAACTTCTTAACATGAAAAAAAGCTTTTTATATGCCACATATCTTCAATTTCTGCACATGAAAAACCAGGACACAAGGAAGTTTAGACTGAATATTAAAACCATCCATCAATTTTAAATCAGTGGGGAGAACTATCTATTTTGAAGCAAATGATTTAATTGTTGTGCAGTACTTGAACTGCTGGTTCAGTGCAGCATAAGAGTAAAGAAGTTTTTGCAGAAGGAGATGTCATATTCAGTGGATTTTTAGCCTGGAAGATTGTTTGTCTACTTACTGTATTTTTTAAAGAAAACTTTATTAGGAGAGGTTACAGAATTATGCTTTTTCCCTCCAGGAAAAATATTTTAATGCATTTCAGAGGAAGCAGCAAGAGGAAGACAGTAGCATTTTAAGATGTAGAGAAAAATCTAGAACCAGAATACCTCTCATGGTCCAAAGGCAAAAAAAATAGATTAATTCTGCATAAGGTCATATATTTAATAAATTACAGCTTTGAAACCAGCTTTTCTGCTCTCGGATCTTCTTCACGCTGTATTTGTTTGGATTCATCAGGATCTGTCCCCCGTTCACCCTGTCAAGGTTTGCATTAATCCAGGAGCTTAGAAGAGCCTTAAGTAATTGGGAATTCCTGTTCTGACAGTGCTCGTGGGGTCACTCTCCTGTTTACTCATCTTCTACCTTATCTGCTGCAAAGGAAAAAACAGATGAGTGTTAAACATAACAGAAATAGCACATTTGTTCACAGGAATTAGCACTGGATTAACCAGTGGTTTCACAGAAAAGAAACAAACCCATCTCCCCAACACACTCAAATTCAATTTCCACACTTCTTTATGAAAAGCAGCTGCTGAAATAAAATATGCTCAGTCTATGCAAGATGCTTTATGCAACCACAGGTAAGAATTCACTCTTTTCCTTTATCCAGATGACAGATGATGATTTTCACCCTACACGACCCAGCTTCACACAGTCACACTGCCCACATCCTTACTGACTGTTAATCACCCTCTTTCCAACAACTCTTGCAAACACCAGGAAACTTCACCAAATTTACGGGCAGCAAGAATTCACATCGGATCCTTGAACAGCTGCGCGTTTCAGGCAAAGGAGCCGAAACATAAACGCGGAGCGGTGGGGCCGGGCCCGCAGGACGCGGGCGGGCCGGGAGGCGCTGAGGGGCGGCCATGAGGGAAGGAAGGCGGGGGGGCCCTGCCGAGCGCGCATGCGCGGCTCCGCCCCGGTGCGGGCGGGCGCGGGAAGCGGCGGCGGTGGCGGCGTGGGGCTGAGTGAGTGACGCGGGCGGGCATGGCCGGGACTCTTCCCGGCGCTATTCCCGGGTTTCTCCTGCTATTCTCCCGCTGGCAGCTGCCTTCCCCGAGGGCTCTGTGCTCTTGCCCGGCCCGCTGCTGGGTGGCTAAGGGAGGGTACGGCCGCAGGTCGGAGCATGGCCCGGTGTGGCGGTACCGGCGGGAGGTTGTGTCCAGTTCTGAGCTGCTCAATGCAGGAAAGACAAGGAGAGGGTCCAGCGGAGGGAACAGGGGTGAGGAGGGGTCTGGAGCAGCTCTCTGATGAGGAGAAACTGCGGGAGCTGGGCCTGGTTAGGCTGGAGAAGGGAAAACTCAGAGGGGTTCTCATTAATGTCCGTAAATATCGCCACGTGTCAGAGGACGGGACCAGACTCTGCTCAGGGGTGCCCAGCCACAGGACGAGGAGCAGTGGCCGTGAAATTAAACACAAAAAGGGCTCCCCAGGCCCTCCCCAGCCTCAACAATTCTTTGTTTTAACACCGAGCCTCTCAACCCCAGCAATTGTGTATTTTAACACCGAGCCTCCCCGACCCCAGCGATTCTGTATTTTAACACCGAGCCTCTCATGCATTATCCCTGTCCCTGCCAGTCCCTCTGCCTCTCGCTAATGCACAGGACAGGCTGGGAAGTGTGATTATTTGGGATACCTGCGCTTTGAATGTAGTTCCTCAGCTGTGAGATACCAGGCATTTGTTTAGGACCATCCCAGCAGGGATTTGGGGTGATGAATTTGGGCCAAGAATGCTCTAAGTGCATCAGGAACGCAGGGCAGGGAGAGCTGGGCCTGGTCTTGGAGCTGCTATTTATTTATGAACCTCTGACTGGGCAAAATATAAACCCCTGAAGAGTCCAAATGAGCTGTTGGGGTTTTGGTATCTCTTAGCCGTGCTTGTGGTGTTGAGAGAAGAAGAAAATCCACAGGAACGTGCATCAGGTGTACAGGTGCAGGTGTTCTACAAGCCAGCTGTTTTCTATTGAGATAAATTCCATAAAACACCTGGCAGCTTCTCAGCCTGGAATGGGTGGGAATGTTACCCCTGGAATCATGTGATGTGGTGAAATAGGAAGTTTTAGGATTTTGCATACATGCTAAACAAGTCTGATTACCCATATGAGAAAAAGGGTGATTGTTAATTTAGCCTTGTTAATGATTCATGATTTCTGGCTGTTCACTAAATTGTCAGAATGGGGAGATAGGTTTATTAAAGAGAAATGAAAGTGAGTGAAAAGTAGTTCTTTCCTAAATAATACTTCAATTCTGGTTTTATTTGTTAAAATATTTTTTGTTTAAAAAGCTAGTTTTCTGACTGTGACCTTTTATAAACACACCTTCCAAAACTAACAAAATAACCCAAGCCCCAAACAATCCATAAGTGGATTCTAAATTGAACCTGAGATGAGAAGCTATTGAAAGGTCAGACAGTTGTATATTAGGCAAATAGTAATCTATAAATTCCTTTTCTTGTGCTTAATATGTACACATGCCAGTGTATATACATACAAATGGT